CACATCTCATATTTAGGTTTATTTTTTTCTTTTGGGTGGGGTGTATTTAACATTTTTTATGTTTTTGTTTTTTCGTGTTTATTAATAATTTTGAAAAAATTCATAGTGGTTTAAACCCTTTGGGGGTCGACGGGCCCTCCCCGAAATCCCCCCCTCAGGGTGGGCCAAAATTTTAAAAAAAAAAAAAAAAATTATTTTTCTTATGAAAAAGATAGAGAATCTTTTCCCGTTTCAAAAAGGGACCCCAAAAAAGTTTGAAATTTATGGGAAAAACTTACGGAATTTGCTCTCGAAAGGGTTAGCGGCCCGGGCCGTGTTTACGCACCCGGCGATTTTTCCCCACTTTGAGCCCCATTTTGGGCCCCTTTCACTGTACTAGTCGAAAAAAACATAAATTTATTTCGTTTAGAACCCCATTTTTTCTATCAAATTTGGGTGCAAAAAAAACCACCCATTTAAAAATTAAAACTATCCATTTCAGTGGTCGTTTTTTACCCTTTTTGCCATTTTCACACAAATTTAAAAAAGTCCCCAATTTCCGATAGGGCCCAGAATAAAAAAAGGTTAAAAACATTCCTGGCACTAAAATAAACTTTTTTCCTCTAGTCTTTAGTCATGTCTCAAGGCCCCTCTTTTTTTTTTGGGCTTTCACTTTAATTTTTATTTTCAAAAAAAAATTTAAGATTTACTTTTATGCAGACTAATGAATTAGTGAAAAAAAATGGTATAAAATTTTTATTGGTGCACTTGAAAAAAGGAATATTAGACTCACCATTTGGGACGTGTATTGAAACGTTTGGGGCACGATTTGTTTACTTTTGAATTTTTGGTAAAAATCGAACTTTTCGTATTTTTGGGGCTAAATTTCAAGGCACCTTTCTTGTAAAACCCAGTCAAAACCCTTAAAATTTCTGTAAAAATTTTCCTTTTCTTTAAAAGAGACAAAAAAAAATTAGAATACAACAAAAAATTTCCTTAAAAAAATACACTCCCAAAGAAACTGATTTATTAAAAAAAAATGGTAAAAGTTATTTTTTTCTCTTTATGCACTGGTGCGGCGGGTTTTTTTTTTAGACTGGGGACACTGACCCTAGACCCATTTTTTCAAGGGAAGGTTTTACCACCCTTTCCCCCACAAGTTTTGAGGCCGCTAGAATTTAGGGAGTACTAGTACGTCAAAAACCCCTACGCTTTAAGACGACTAGTCGACAAAAAACCCTCAAGGGTTAAAAAAAATGTGTATTTAACGTAAATATATGACATTTAAATGAGCGATAAATTATTATTATAAATTACTAATAGGGAACGTCTGGGGGACAAAACACACTTACTGTTTTTAAATGTGTACCTCCCACCCCGCACAGAAAGAAAGTTTATTTAAGAAACAGGTTAAAAAGTAAAATTTATCAGAGTATATATAAAATATGAAATAAAAATTTTAAAAAAAATTTTAAAAATTTTTGGAGTTTCCAGAAAAAAGGAGGACTTAGTGCTTACTGGCTCAAAAAAGAAAGTAAACAAACAAGGTGGGGGGGGGCGGGGTGGGCCCCTATTAGAAAGTAGGGGGGGGGAAACCGGGATAGTGAGTTTTGGGGCTAATTTTTAAATGACCCTATTAGCGGAACGCCCCTTAAAATGAAACGCCGGGAAAGCGGGGCCTTCCTGGAAAATGATTTTATATATATAATTTTATATATATATTTTATATATATATTATATATATATATATAATTTTATATTATATATATTTTATTTTATACAGTGGTCCCTCGTTTTTTTGTAAATTTAAACCCTTCCCGGAGGAAACTACTTAAACGAAATTTTTCCCAATTTTCGAATTCCCTTTTCCCCTTTAAAAATTTTAATTTTAAATACAATTAATCCGTTTCTGACACTCAGAAGTTTAAAAAAAAAAGATTTTTTTTTACATGAAATAACATGAAATACATAAACAATCAGTGGGAAATGATGAATGAAAACATTAAAGGATAACATTTCCCTTTTTTGGAGGTTCTTTTAGTGTTGGGGGATGGAGGAGGAGAGAGAATTTGGGTTGTTTACAGTTTGGAAGGGGAATCCCTTCCAGGGAAAAACCTCAGGGACCCAAATTTTTCTCGGGGTTGCTTTCTTCTTGTTTTTTAATGCCCAAAGGGCCACCTTGAGAGTCCCTCTTGTCCGTCTGCCCAAAATAACTGTGGAGAGAGCTCTGGGTTTTGGGTCTCTTTAACACTTCCCTAAAATTTTTACAAGACTTTGTCCAATGTTAAAATTTTCAACCTTTTTTTACCACAGGTTGGGATAGGGCTTTTTGGAGCCATTTGGGAGCCTTATTTAGTACTTTTGGGAAACACTAAAAATTTAAGGGGGGTTTTTATGGGAAAATTTTGTAAAGGGCACTTGAGGGGGCCTTCCTTTCCCGGGAAACAATTTCCAGATGGGTGGGTGGGAGGGGCCCCCCCGGCTCCACCATGCGTAAACGTCCTGGACAAACTCCCATTGGCGAGTCAACCTAAAGAAAGGGGCCATGGTTTTTACGAAAATTTCCCCTAAGATTGGGGAAATTTACGATTTTTGGAATAGGAAAAACGGGGGGAACCCCTGTATATATATAGTGCCATTTTTGTATTTCAAAAAAATTTTTTTTTATCTATAAAAAGTATTTTTTGTTAATTTTTTCCTATAAAAAATAATGCAAATCCCTTTTAAAACCCTTACCCCAAAAAAAACTTAAAGAAAAACATTTTTAGATAATAAAAAAGTTTTGCATACAGAAATGGGGCCCACTAAATTCGGGGGCCCTGTGTATTTTTTTTAAAACATTTTATTTATTTATATTTTTTTTTATTTATTTTATACCTATTGGGATAAATTTTTAAAATTCAATTTTTAAAATAATTTTTGATAAAGTTTTGTTTTTTGGTGGTAATTGTTTTAAATTGAAAGGAAAATCAAAAGGGGTTTAAAAATTGGTAAAGATTATTTTCGAGGGAAGAAAAAGGAAAAAACCTTTTCTTGGGAAATTACTCTTCTCTCTTTATTGTTAAAAAAAAAAACAAAAATTCCCTAGCTGTATTATTATTATTTTTTTTTATTATTATTATTATTATTATTATTAAAAAAATTTTTATTATTATTTTTTGCTGCCATTACTCTGTAAGGAAACGTTCCTTGTATTTTCCCTAAAATTATGTCTTTTACACAGGGAAAAACAAGGTTTGCTATCTATGAGAGAGAAAGTTGGGCATATGATAAGATTTATCACACCACCTACAGGAAGCCATTTCCACGTTTTTTATTTTTAACCCCCACCATGGGGGGGGATTTGAAAACCCAATCATTTTCGATTTTTTGAGGGCGAGGTTTTTTTTATTGCCCTTTTTATGGACTGATTACATCGTCTTCCAGTTTTCTTCTGCTTCTATTCAAATTTTCTGTACCGACTGAAGAAACCTACTGTGGGAGGCGAAACGTTTCGAAAAAAAGATACCTAACTGTTGCATTGGGGTCTTATAAAAACCGGGCGGTATTTTTACTGACAGGTTGTTAGGGAAGGCCCCTCGGCTTCCTTACCCAAAATACACTATTGCTTCCCCCATGCTTTCTGCAAAAAGGGGAAAAGGGCTGCTTCTTGTCGCGACGGAGGGGTCGTGCCTCCCCACGTTTTGCGTGAATGACCCACATGGGTTTAGTGCTTAACTGCTTTTGAATCTTTTTTTCTTCAACAATTTTACTTTGTTTTTTTTACTTTCCCTGGGAGGTGTTTGTCTTTAGATTTTTCATTCAGCTTTTAATGGGATTCCACATAACTGGATTTTTACGTTTCCAGTGTAACTTCTAGCTGCAATTTACACACACTGACATTTTATCAGCATGATCAAAAATGTTTTCCCGTGGGGGGTTTTAAATTTAAGTGAATTATTAAACCCGAAAGGTTGGGAACCCAGGATAATCTAAAAAAAAACCCGTCGGGTGGCTTTTTTTTCGTGGGGTTCCTTGGGGCCTCTTTCCGGGAGGTTTCAGTTTCCCCCAAAGGTTGATTAAAAACCCAAGTACCTATTTATCTCTTGGTGAAAATACCCATCATTGCCATTGTTTATTAAATCAAATCAAAAGGGGGCACAGGATTTGATCCTGGGTCTTTTGGTTAGAACTAAAGGGGATAGTACTACTATGTTTATATTTTAAATTTCTTACTGTATTGTGCGATTAGGGCCCTTTAACAGCTTTGAGAATAATTTTTACAAATATGTGGGGGTGAGAAAGGTTGGAATTTAGAAGGATCGGGAAAAAGGGTGGGCCTAAGTAAAACCCGCTGTAATGTTTCTCCATTTTTATTTTTTTGTGTGGTCATAAATAATTTTTCTCATTTAGATTTTTCTTAAAAATTGGGGTTATTTGTACAATTGTTATGACTTGACAGAGTCCAGGGTGGGGCCAAAATATTGTCTAAAGTTTTTCCTTTTTCCCAAAATTTTGGGTTTTTAAATTTTCTGTTTTTGATATACCCCTTGGGGCTATAAAAAAATTTGCTTTTTGTGGAGTTTTAAAAAAAACTTTTTCAACCAAAAAAATAATCAGAATTTCTGTACATAGGAAAAATTTTTTTTAAAAAATGCTGGTTTTAGTTTGTATATTCCATATTTTTATTAATTTTATTTTATTTTCGAATTTGGGAGTACTGTATTAATCCCCGGTGGTGCCCCCTCATTCCAGTGGTCCCCCTCCTCCCGTACATAAGATTTGGGTGGGATGGGATTGTATACAAACAAAAATGAGAAGGGCATAAAAATTAAAACCATGATTCAGTAGGGGTTCCCCGAGTTTTATCCGCTTTTTAATCTGAGGTGAAGACAAAAGTAATATTTGCTGATTTTTTGGAGAGTTTGGGAATCTTTAATCTTCAAGAAGTTTTTTTTAGTGAAAGTTTTAACCCGATTACCCAGTCCTTATCCCCGTTACAGTGATGTGGTTTAAAAAAGGGCCATTTAGTTTTAGCAGGTATGCAGGATCATGTAGCTTCCCCTCTTGACAAAGATGCAGCAGTGGCCAGGTATTCCCTGGTCTCGGGGTAGCCAGTACCCGTGGGGTTCGAAAAAAGCTTCCCCCTCTCTAAGGTCAAAATTCCAAAGGGTGTATCTAAAAGGCCGTACATGTTCCTTTTCCTTCAGCTTCAGGTTTTAAAAAGGATTCGATAATAATGATTCCCTCGATTTCCCAAAATTGTTAACTTTAAGTAGTTTTCATTTTAACCCTTTTAAAAGTCGATTTAAAAAGTTTTGTACAAAAACAAAAGTAAAAAAAAATTTTGGCCATTAGAACTTTTTATAGATTGTAGGGCCCAAGTGATAATAGACCCCGTAATTTGCCAAAGTCCTGATGAGTCAAATTTCCAAGACTAAAGATGTAATTTAAACCCCAGTTAACACTGTAAAAAAGCAGACTTAGTGCATTTTGTTGGGGGAGGAGGTTGCAGATGTGTTTGGGGTGGATCTGCAAAAGGGAACATGGTGGCTAAAAAAAAAAAGTTCAGTTCAAAGGGTCCCCGTGGTCCCAAGTATAGGGGTTTGGGGAAAATCCTGGTTTAGGGCCCCTCATATCACCCGCCCAGGGCATAACCCTACAAGTGATTTCCCCAAACAATTCTAAACCCGTGATGGAAAAATAAAAAATGTGTGAAAAGGGGGAAAAAAGAATATTTCCTTTTTTGTGGAAGGGGCTGAGAAAAAGGTATTTTAGAAAAACCCGAAAAGAAAAAATGTAAAAATAATTTTGAATTCTAAATTTAATAGTAGTAAAATGGGCAAGTCATTCCCGTTTTTTGATGGGACGTTGATGAAGTTTTGTGAAGTCTGAGTATAATCTGGTGAGTGAAACCAGAAAAGAGGGGGTCTTTCAGTAAAAAAATGAGTGTGAAGTACTAAACTTTGTGAGGGCAGGGGGAAAGGGTTTCTAAAAAAAGAAGGCCCCCAAGTGGAAGAAGTTCATGAGGTTGATATATTGGGAAATTTGGAAGGAAAAGAAAATGCATTTGAATATTCAAACCCAAAAAAAAAGCTTTCAAGTGAAGCAGATGATCCCTTAGTAATTTTCTCAAAGAAAGTTTTTTTCAAAAACAAAACAAATCAAAGTTTATTTCTATAAAGGGTTACAATGCAAGGTTTACAGGGTTTTGGTTATTGTGTGGTTTTTTCATGTAGTAAATTTAAAAACCGGGGGCAGAAAGGGGGGGTAGAGCAAACCCGCCCTGGCTAGGCATTTTGCTTTCTACTCTTTATTGTTTTTTGCTAGGGAAATTTTAATCCCCCGTCTTAGCTGTGTTAAGTTTAATGGTGAAAAGAGTGTTTTTTTTAAAATTTGGGGAAAATATTGTATTCAGGGGTTTTGGTAAAAGTTTAAAAGGTGATCCTTCGTTGTTAGTGAAGGTTTTATTTAAGGGGGGTTTTGTGGGCGAGGGGTTTTTGGGCTTCAGCAAGCATGTGTGAGGGTTAGATAGGAGTTTAATGGAGGGCAAAATTTGGGTTTTTTGGGGCCCGCCCAGCTGTTGGGTGTGAGCAGGGTTTAAAATTTAGTGAAGGGTTTTAGGGAAAATGGGTTTTTTTTTATATTTCCGGAAATTGAGTTACTTTGGGAAAAGGGAAGTACAAGGCCCGCACTTTAAAGGAAAGGGGTTTTGGGGTATTGGCAGTTTGGGGGTTTTATTTTGTATTTTTTATTTCATATATTTCTTTAAACTGTTGTATTCTGGCAGCTCTGCCCAAAAAAAAGTAATTATGTTGGGGTGGGGTGAAAGGGGTTGGAATGGTTTAAAATTTTTTTCCCTTTTGGGGATTTTCTTTTTGGGTCACCCTTTCCCCCGGTGGGAGATGGCCAACCCTTTTTATTTATATTATTTTTTTTTTTAACATCTGGCCCATTTTCCCCCCAAGGCAGGGTGGCCCCAAAAAAAAAAAAAACTTTCACCATCATTCACTCCAAAAATGTTTGCCAGAGGGGTTTCTTTACACTACGTTTATTAAAATGCAACATTAACACCCCCCTTCAGAGTGGGAGGGACTGTACTTCCCCTCTCCGGACTCCAAAATCCGACCCCCGCCAATTTTTCCCCGAATCCTTTTAAATGTTTCTTTTCTCCACTCCAACAAACCGTCAAGTATTAACAAAAAATTTTTTCTCCATTCACTTTCCCATTAAACAGCTCAGCATTTCTTGCTGAAAAACCAAGCCCCCCGCAAAAAAAAACCTCTTTCACCCCCCCCCTCCAACCTTTTCCCAGGCCCCCCCCCCCAACAAAAATGGCCGTATCCCCCAAGGCAGGGTGGCCCCCAAAAAAAAAAATGAAAGTTTTTTTTCAAATTTGTTAAACCCTTTCAGGAGAAGGGGGTTACTGCCCCTTGCTCCCGGCATTTTAGAGGCCCCTTACAACACGTAAAGGGTTAGGGAGGAAGAATTCTGTTCCACTTCCCCTGGAGATAAGAGGAAAAAAACAAGAACAAAAACTAAAAAAAAGAAAATTTGGGGAAAACCCAAGGGGGGGTTATTTTATATGCTTTTACCCTGTTTTGTGTTTGGGGTGACCCAAATGTAAGTAAAGTAGCAAGATGTACCTATAATCTTGCCCTATTTAAGAGAGACAAAAAAACACCAGCCAAAACTACCATCATGTAAAAACCCAAATTTCAGGCTTTCGTTTTACCCCTCACTTGGGAGGATGGTAGTAAACCCCCCTGGGTGGTTTTCTGTTTTTCCCAACCCACTACCTAAATATATTTTATTTCTTTCTTTAACACACCGGGGCCCTTTTCCCACCGGGCAGGGTGGCTTTAAAAGGAAAAACAAAAGTTTCTCCTTTCACCCTTTTTGTAATTTTAAAAACAGGAAAAAGGGGGGGCCCAGCCCCCCGCTCCTGGGGATTTTAGTCGCCTCTTTTCAACCCCGCATAGCTTCCCGGGGGAAAAATTTGTTCCACTTCCCCATGGGGGATAAGAGGAAAAAACAAGGGAAAAAGAACTTGAAAAAAACAGAAGAAAACCAGGGGGTTTTATAATTTATAATATGTTTTTTCAAGTAAAGTTTTAGGGGTGGACCCAAGTGTAAGCAGAAGTAGCAAGAGTACCCGAAAAACCCTTTCATTTTTTATGAGACAGAAAAAAAACCAGCAAAAACCCACCTTTATGTTTTAAAAATTACAGGCTTTTATTTTTTTTTTCCCCTTGGCAGGAGGGGGGTACCTCCCGGGTGGTTTGCTGTTTACACATGTTGCAAGTGTATGGTGTAGGAGGTAGGTTATGAAAGCGTGAAGGTTTTTTCGAGGATAGGAGGCCCCAAGTTAGAGTATGTTGGAAAGAGGGAAAATTTTTTCCAGTAAAAGTAGGCCTTAGACAAAGGAAGGGGTGATGTCACTGTGGTTGTTTAATTTTAAATTTTTAGTTTTTGGGGGTTTTAAGAGAAGTAAAATGCGGGGGGTCTTGGCAAAAAAAAGGCGTGGAAGGGTTTAAAATAAAGAATCACAAATAGTGGGGAGTTGTCAAAAAGCTGCTCTTTGCTGATGGGCACTGTGCTTTGGGGGATTCTGAAGAGGGAAATTGCAAGATTGGTGGATGAATTTTGGTTTTGGGTGGGGCAAAAGAAGAAAAAAATTTAAAGGGTGAATACAGGAAAAAAGTAAGGTTATGAGGATAAAAAAAAAAGTTAGGGGGATGAAAGTTGTTTCAGTTGGAGGGGGGAGAGTAAAGGGGGAGGTGAAAATATTCCGATATTTTGGGGGTGGAGTTGGGCAGCAGAGGGTCTATGAAAAAATGAGGTGAATCAAAAGAATTGATGAGGGAAAAGAGTGAGTGGTGCACTTAGGGTCTGTGGGAAAAGAAATTTTTCCTTGGAGGGGAAAAAGGGGAATGTTTGGAGTATAGTTTTACCCAAAGTCTTATATGGGGGTGGGAAACATGGGTGATGAATGTTGAGGAGGAGAAAGGGTGGAGGCAAATGGAGAAAGTCATGTTGAAAGGGGAATTTTGTGGTGTGAAAATTTTGCAGAGAATTTGTAGGTTTTTGGGGTTGGGGAGGTGCGGGGGGTTACCAAAACTGTTTTTCCACAGGGTGGGGAAGGGTTTTTAGGTGGTTCCCGGGCAGGGGAGAGAATGGAGCGAAACAGAAAGACTTCAAAAGTGTATCAGTTGTAGTGGAAGGAAGGCGGGGGGGGGGTCGGCCTAGGAAAGGTTGGAGGGAGGGGGTAAAGGAGGTTTTGTGTGCGAGGGGCTTGACTTCCAGCAGGCATGCGTGAGCGTTGTTTGATAGGAGTGAATGGAGCAAATGGTTTTTAATACTTGACGTGCTGTTGGAGTGTGAGCAAAGTAACATTTATGAAGGGATTCAGGGAAACCGGCAGGCCGGACTTGAGTCCTGGAGATGGGAAGTACAGTGCCTGCACTCTGAAGGAGGGGTGTTAATGTTGCAGTTTAAAAACTGTAGTATAAAGCACCCTTCTGGCAAGACAGTGATGGAGTGAATGATGGTGAAAGTTTTTCTTTTTCGGGCCACCCTGCCTTGGTGGGAATCGGCCAGTGTGATAAAAAAAAAAATAAAAAATATATATATATATATATACGTATATATATATATGTATATATACATGTAGTATATATATATTTTTTTTTCAACAAGTCGGCCGTCTCCCACCGAGGCAGGGTGACCCAAAAAAGAAAGTAAGTCCCCAAAAAGAAAATACTTTCATCATCATTCAACACTTTCACCACACTCACACATTATCACTGTTTTTGCAGAGGTGCTCAGAATACAACAGTTTAGAAGCATATACGTATAAAGATACACAACATATCCCTCCAAACTGCCAATATCCCAAACCCCTCCTTTAAAGTGCAGGCATTGTACTTCCTATTTCCAGGACTCAAGTCCGACTATATGAAAATAACCGGTTTCCCTGAATCCCTTCACTAAATATTACCCTGCTCACACTCCAACAGATCGTCAGGTCCCAAGTATCATTCGTCTCCATTCACTCCTATCTAACACGCTCATGCACGCTTGCTGGAAGTCCAAGCCCCTCGCCCACAAAAACCCCCTTTACCCCCTCTTTCCAACCCTTTCGAGGACGACCCCTACCCCTCCTTCCATCCCCTATAGATTTATATGCTTTCCATGTCATTCTGCTTTGATCCATTCTCTCTAAATGACCAAACCACCTCAACAACCCTCTTGTGCCCTCTGACTAATGCTTTTATTAACTCCACACCTTCTCCCAATTTCCACACTCCGAATTTTCTGCATAATATTTACACGACACATTGCCCTTAGACAGGACATCTCCACTGCCTCCAACCGTCTCCTCGCTGCTGCATTTACCTCCCAAGCTTCACATCCATATAAGAGTGTTGGTACTACTATACTTTCATACATTCCCTTCTTTGCCTCCATAGATAACGTTTTTTGACTCCACATATACCTCAACGCACCACTCACCTTTTTTCTCTCATCAATTCTATGATTAACCTCATCCTTCATAAATCCATCCGTCGTCACATCAACTCCCAAGTATCTGAAAACATTCACTTCTTCCATACTCCTCCTCCCCAATTTGATATCCAATTTTTCTTTATCTAAATCATTTGATACCCTCATCACCTATTCTTTTCTTGTTCTCTTTTCAAACTTTCTACCTTTACACACTTCTCAAACTCATCCACTAACCTTTGCAGTTTTTCTTTAGATTCTCCCGTAAGACAAGTATCATCAGGCAAAAGTAACTGTGTCAATTCCCATTTTGAATTTGATTCCCAAAATTTAATCCCACCCTTCCCCGAAACACCTAGCATTTACATCCTTTACAACCACATGTATAAATGTATTTAAACAACCATGGTGACATACACATCCCTGTCTAAGGCCTACTTTTACGGGAGTAGTCTCCCTCTCTTTACCAACCCTAACCTGAGCCCTCACTATCATCATTAAAAAACTCTTAACGGACATTTAGTAACTTACCACCTATTCCATAGAATTGCCACCATCTGCCACATTGATCCTCTATCCACTCTATATATGCCTTTTCTTAAATCCATAAATGCAAT